TTTAACATCACCAACACGTTCATCTCTAATATTATTATTTTACCATTTGGTTATTATGCCGTAAGCGCGATTGCGTCCATGAAATTTATCCACCCACCGTCAAATTTCATGCCTAATTATAAATGGGAATTTAGCAACTCCAGGAGATGGAAGCCCAAACAACAAGAACAAACAACAACAATGACGATGAAATGTGATGGTAACAACAATGGTGGTAAAGGGGGTGTAACAATGGTGGTAAAATGGGTGTAACAATGGTAGTAAAGTGGGTGAAATGTTAGTGAAAAAGTGAGTAGAACATTGGTGATAAAATGAAAGTATAACTTTGGTGATAAACGATAATAATAATAATAGGATGGAGCAATAAGATATTTATAGGCCGTTCGCAAGCAGTTTGCCATTCAAAATATCTTACGTTATGTTCTGTCGGGCTATTTAATTCATGTTATGTGTTGTCCGTGCAGTGTTGCATTGATGTTATTGCTGTTGTTAATGTTTTGGTTATCGTAAGCTGCTGTTGTCAATGAATGATGTTGTTAATTGCTGTTGTTAATGTTTTGGTTATCGTAAGCTGCTGTTGTCAATGAATGATGTCTTATTGTTGTGGTTAGTGGTTGTGTTTTTGTTGCAACTGCTGGGTTTGTAGCTGATGTTACATTTGTGGTTGCTGTTGTTGCGAACATTGTCGTTGTTTCTACGTCTGTGGTGGTGGTTGCTGCTTCATTTGTGGTTGTTGCTTCATGTGTGATTATTGATGGTGTTGTTACGATATAGTGTTTAGTTTTAATTGTTTTGAATATTCTTATGGATTCTTATTTCTTGTCGTTGTTTTAGATACTTTCAATTTATTAAAACTCTAATATTTTAATTTCAACTGAACGACTGTAAAGTGGAAAAGTTTAACAAATGAAGGATAACATTACATTGAAACGTCCAATTACACGTCTGACTTGGAAATTTTTTTATGTAAATATGCACACGTACTTAGAATAGGAAAATATGTAAATTCTCATGTAAATGGGGAACGATAGAACGCTAAAATGGCCTCATTAGTTCCTCCTCCATTCCAGTGATGTCACAATAATACCGATCTTTCGATATTTATTGACGCTCAGCCTGATTATAAAGCGTCTCTTTATTTTGTTTACAATGCAAAAAAAAAAATTTCACAAAAAAACCATCAAAATGCAGCCAAATAATTTTTTTCTACCAAAATTATAAAAAAAATAAAAATAACAAAATACGCGGAATATATAAGCTGAACGATTTCAGCCAACATAATTGAAAATAAAATTAAAATTTTATCTTCAGATATGTATCAAGATATATATCTATCTTATCTTACAATCTTATGATTATATAGATGGAATCTTATAATCACATGAAAAAAATTTTTTAACGCTGTGAATGAAATCTCACGAATATATGGATAACATCATTCGAAATGGATAGTTGAGTTAACGACGCATCGCCAATATTCACTGAGGTGCAGTTAAGTCACACAAAAAAAATAATTTCGCGATTTTCCATTGAAACAATAAAATTGTGAGTGCTCGCATACTTGTAAATATGTGTGTGGATGTGTGTGTGGATGTGTGTGATAGTGTGTGGATGTGTGTGATAATGTGTAAATGTGCGTGAATGTGCGTGTGTAGATGTGCCATTTGGTGGGTTTGGTGGGCAAAAAAGCTCAACTGCCTTAATTTCTAATTCAAATTTCTAAAAACTTTTGTATTTTGATGGCATTTTTATTACATCTCCCAGCTGGTGGAAAAAATGCATCCCTGTATTTTCTTGCCTGGAACTGCGCGTTCGTGTATGTGAAAAAACGTGTGCCTATGTTTGTTTGTAAGTGACTGTCTGTGTGAGTTTGTTTGTATACGTGTGAATGAGTGTCTGTGCGTGTGTGTGTGAGGCCACCGTGTAAAAATTTGCTCGTGCATGTACGAATGAAGCTTCTTGCGTGTAGAAAGCGTTGAAATTGCATTAATGTACTTTTTATTTCTTATATTGCATCCAGTTTTGCGCGCGACAGCGAAACGAATGTCCTCTTCGGATAAAAAAATTTACGCTGGCGTTTGGTTGGATTACCAGAATTAAAAAATCAACAGTTGTAATTTGCAGCTACAATAAAAATAAGAAGCAAGCTCGACAAAATAATGAATAATGTGATTGATAATGATATATTATAATATATGATATATATATATATATTATATAATATGATATATGAATAAATGAGGATGGACACTTGTTTATTTATTCATAAACGTCGTCTGCGCATCAGAACGATGAACTAATTAATTGAAGGTACTTCAGTCTCGAACATTTCAGTCATAAAAACCTCAAAAATTGTTAATCAAGATCATTGTGTGAAATTAAAAAAAGTTAAATGTCTTCAAAATTGGTGGATAACAAAACTGTTGATGAGCGTTTATAAAGTGTGTGGATCGTAAGAACAACCAACCGCTATGTGATGGAGTTGATAATTTTATAATGCCATCAGCTGCAGATTTTGTGGTCAAAATATCTTCAGAACAATAATCATCTGTCGGCTTCATTTTTCAAGACGTGCCAACCATGAAAATAATTACTCTGAATATAATATTGTATTTGAAAAGTTTCCCGATTGTCTGGGATGATGAAGTGAATCATTTGCTGCGAAACATTTAATCAGCACTGAATTAGAATGAAGTGGAATTGAGCGACGAGGTTTTTGTGTATGTCGCGAATGTTTGGTGTTCAACAAATCCAAACCGTGCAACGTTCACACATCGCTCGCTACCTTAACGAGCAATTCATTTCAGATAATCTCATTCAACTGAAACACAAATCGTGAGAATGTTTATGTGTGTGTGTGTGTGTGTGTGTGTGTTGTGGGTGTGGGTGGGTGTTCGGGTACGCGTGTGTGTGTATGTTTGTGTATGCTTGTGTTTGTGTGTGCAATTGTGTAAATTTTTTTTCATTAGCATCATTCAGCAAAATGGGTGTGCCATCAATCACGTGATCAAATGAAGTCTTCCAACATACATTAAGGCATAAATTGCTTACACACAAACACACAAATACACAAACTTTTAAACGTACCAACATACAAACACACTAACATATAAACACACACGCTCACACACACACGAAATAATATAGAAACGCATACACACATTGACACAAGTATATGAGTTACAAACGTCAGCATATATTGCATGCCAACAAAACGCGTCGTCATTCTAGTAGATAGCATAACCGTGGAACTGCAGATACAGAGGCTTACAAACAAATATTCTGTGTAGGTGCTACCTGCGAACTAGAAATTATACTTATCAATTAAAAATTTAATATTTCCGTCAATAAACACTCGGTTTTTTTGGTTCCCAAATTCTCACTGATCTGCTGTGCTGACTGCTGGAGGATGAGTATACAACGTATGCACTCATGCTTAATAAATGTTTCATTTGTTCGAGAACTGTTTTTTAAATTCAGAAGTTTATTTTCTTTTGTTTACTTTATAAAAATTTGTTAAATAACAAAATTTAGTTTGCTAAAAATTAGTAATTTTCAAGCCATAACGTAACTAAACAAGCTTATGAGGTTTGAATTTCAGATAAGCAATTAGTTCAGTTTCAAACACGGGCAGACAACTTTTTCAAATCTGGTTACAATCAATTATAACTGTCAGCGCACATGAACTACCGCTTCCATCTAAGTACTTTTTTGATGTTTTGAACGAACGGAAATTGCAAAAAATATTTAAAACAGCGGTCAGGAAAATTATTCATATTCATGTTACAAACATCTGAAAAAAAAATATACATAATAACAAGCTGTCAATACTTAAAAGAAACAATTGAAACAGTTTTTTTGGTTCATTGTTGAACCAAGTCTGAACAAGACGAAAATGAATAAATAGCATAGTTTAAAATTGTTACGTCTCATGTCTGGAGTTGGAAAAATTAATTTAAAAATGTAACTTCAGAAAACGCAAACTGCATCAAAATATTTTTTGTAAGTGTTGGTTTTTCAGACCATTAATAACTTTCGAGTAGATTAGTTGTGACGAAGAATTTAAAAAACTTTCACGTCATTTTCTGCTTTTATTCAGCTTTGTTAACGCTTAATTTTGAACGATTTGTTGATAATTTGTCGTTAATATTTTTGTAACTTTCGGCATGAAAATTTGAGACGTTTCATTGATAAGAAATTATTGTTTGTGGTTTTGCTTGGAAAAAGATAGAAATCTTGAAAGATAAAAAAAATTAAAATTAGTGTCAAAAATCAAATGTATAAATAATTTCTAAAAATGATGCTCCACATTATACAAACTCTTGTTTAAACATTTTCGTCGTTCGAATCAAATCTCTAGAATTATTCACAAGCTTGGTTAAGAAGCATTTCATCTTTTGAACATTTGAAAGGAACTGTTCCTTCAAGTCAATGCATTTTGATATTGTGCAGTAGATGTATATTGTTTAACGAATCAATGATGTGTTTCTAACAACACTAGGAGGTACGTTTGGGTCATTTGAAAATTCGTTCAATGATATGTTCAAGGAACATTGATACAGAAATACGTTCCATTCCCACATAAAAATATATGACGTTGTATACATAGATAATATATATATATATATATATGTGTGTGTGTGTGTGTGTGTGTGTGTGTGTGTGTGTGTGTGTGTGTGTGTGTGTGTGTGTATGTGTGTGTGTGTGTTTGAATTCTATATATATAATGCAAGTATAATGAATCCGGAAAGAATCTATAATGTATACGTAATGTACAGTACATGTATATACTTTTTGTAATGCAATTATAGTGCGTATATAATGTTTATATGTGAATATAATAGATATGTCTGTGGGTATGCAACATGAATGAAGCAAATTGATGAAACAAAGCGTTCCTTTGCCCCGAAATAAACTATCTTTCTAATAAAAGAAGCATTCCTCCAACCCACAACCATAAAACACACTCCAACGTTTTCTCAATTTTCCCAAAGACTGCAATGCTCTCATTTGCCTTGCTTACGTGAGCACAAACATGAACAAATTTACTTAAATGAAAGTGATTGGATGAATTATTTTTCTTATAAACATTCAATTCACTTTATTGCCAGTATCACATAGACGCATGCATAAATACATAAAGCTTCTATAAAAATACGGTGTGTTTGTGTATATTGTGTGCGTCTGTGTGCGTGCGTACGTGTTGTGTATGTGTGTGTGCGTGTTGTGTATGTGTGTGTGTGTATGTGTGTGTGTGTGTGGTGTGTGTATGTGTGTGTGCGCGTGTGTAGACATGTATGTTTATTAAAAGATTATTTTATATTTCTATGCACAGGTAACTTAACTGACATCCACCCAGCAATGACAATCGACACAATTCGCTTCGGAACACCAAATCCTCATCTCTTAGCATCATCCTCCCTGACAACTCCTTTAATGTCGTCATCAGCTACGTCATCGTCGTCCTCACCATCAATTTCATCCACGTCATCGTCTTCGTCATCTCAATTTCCGTCTCCCTCATTTTCTACCTCAAAGTTAGACTCATCATCATCATACTCACTGACTCCATCATCATCATCGCTCCTATCAT